GATATTCCATCCTGTTTCGCTAAACTTCTGAGCTGCTAACTGTTGATGACATGCCCTGATCTTTGCTCCCTGTGGGCAGACTCTCCCTGCATTGCCAGAGGGAAAACTTAGCTGCCTGCTTCCTTAACTTTTGGATCCCCCAGCCTCTGAGTTGAAGGTCTTCCAGTACATTAACTGCCCATGGAAGTGAGTTGAACTGAGCCATCCATACTGCTGTGTGCACTAATTAGCTGTTATATTCCTTTGGGCTGCATAAATATGTGTGTGTGTCCTGGATATATATCTATATATATAGATATATGTCAGTGCCCTGGATTTGTGTGTGTGTCCTGGTTATATATATGTGTATATCAGTGTCCTGGTTTTGTTTCTCTAGAGAACCTTACCTAACACAACCTCCCTGGTGCTATTTACTGTGTTGGCTTTTTTAATGTTTGGCTAAAGTTGATCTATGGGAGTCAGTTCAGTTCCAGGTTTGAAAGCTGTTGAATGGTTATAATTTTGAGGGTTCAAAGAGTTACTATCAGACCAATAAATCTGGTCTCCTTAAGCTTTTGAGTTGTGTTACACCTGTTTCACCCGCTCTATGCAGGCTCTTCTCTGTGAACCCACTCAGAACAGTCGGTCCTACTGCTAGGGATCATCTGGTCTGGTCTCTGAATTATGGAGGCCAAGATTTATGCTGTTTACTAGTCTTTTGGACTAATGTTTCCTGTCTTTCATTTTCTTCACTTTTCTTTCCTCCAGATGAGTAGAGAATAATAGTTTCTCCTTAGAGGGCTGCTCACCTGCTTTTTAAACTACAGTTGCTGCTTACCAAAGCGTAGAACACTGAGTTTGTGGCTATATTATGCTAGTTGACCTAGATATTTCTGGAAAGTATGGTCCTACATCCCCAAAGAATGCCTCATTCTCTCATGCTGTTTGATTATGGTGAAAAAGTTTTCATAGTATGTTTCTAGTGTGTTCCAATATGCACTTGCTTATATTTTCAGCTCATATAAATACACATGCAGACCTGTCCTTTGCCAAACACTCACGTATATATTTGCAGGTATAGGGCTATTCACATTCCCCTGTTTGTTTAACTTGAAAGATAGACTATTTTTAGAAGTATCAGTAATTTAAAAATAGTTTGTGTAGCTCGGTACTAATCTTAGGATGACAACATGCCATAACCACAAGAGAAGTACTAATGCTTATTCTCTTTATTGATAAAGATCTGCTTCATTTTCCCCCCGAAAACAAATGACCAAAGAAATTTAGCTCTTTAGCTGTCCTCAGAGACAAATTTGAATTTCTTTAGTTTGATGTATTTGCCTCTAAATTCTATCATTCAACTACTTAACCAGACAGATATAAAGAACACTAGGTAATAAGAATGTAAGCAGCATTTTTAGAAAGCAGTACATTTTTAATGTTCACTGATGTGCCTTATCAATATAAAACTTATTATGTACAAGATTTTTTTCCCATGGTCAATGGATTAGCAGAATGATTTATTCTATAATGCCATATCTAAAGTAGTATATTTCAAGTACCCACATAAACTAATTCAACAAAAAGAGAGGTTATAGGAATGTTTTCATTTGAGACAAAATCTTATGCTATAATATGCATGGCGACACAAGAACAGGAGAGAGAGAAAGAGAAAGAAAAGAATAGTTTGAATTTGTAGAGAGTAAAATAAATTTCCTAGAAATAACATTTTTATAAAATCAACCTGATCATACTTACCTGGCAACAGAGATACCATGATCACGAAGGTGGTTTTCCCAGGGCAAGGCTTATCCATTGCACTCGGGATGTGCTGACCCCTGCGATTTCCCCAAATGTGGGAAACTCGACTGCATAATTTGTGGTAGTGGGAGACTGTGTTCGCTCTATCCCCTATTTAAAAAAAAAAAATTCAACCTGATCTGGGAAGGCACAGAAGGGTAAATTATTTAAAATATACATCTAGAATATAGTGAGTTCTATACTAGTATTAAAAATAAGATTGTAAACATTTGGGATAACATTTAATGCTTTATTTTCTTTTTTTCTTTTAAATCATTTTATTGGGGCACTTACAACTCTTATAACAATCCATATATCCCCACCCTCCTTCCCTCATGAACCCTTGATAATTCATAAATTATTATTATAATTATTATTTATGTTTTACACCTGTTTCAATTTCCCTTCACCCACTTTTATGTGGTTCATCCCCCCGGAGGGGTGGTGGTGGTGGTGGTTATATATCGATCATTATAATCGGTTATCTCTTTCTCCCCTCAACTTCCCCTACCTTCTTAGTATAGCTACTCTCATTATTAGTCCTAAGGGGTTTATCTGTCCTGGATTCCCTGTGTTGCAAGCTCTTACCTATACTAGTGTCATGCTCTGATCTAGCCGGATATGTAAAGTAGAATTGGGGTCATGATAGTGGGGAGAAGGAAGCATTAAAGAACTAGAGAAAAGGTGTATCTTTCATTAGCGCCATACTGCACCCTGACTGGCTTGTTTCTTCTTTGTGAATGCCCATTTCACAAGTAGAGGCTTTGGGCCTCTACTCTGCCCTCCCCCTCATTCAGATTGATATGATTTTTTGTTTGGGGGTTTGATGCCCAATACCTGATCCCATCAATACCTCATATTCACACAGGCTGATATTCTTCTTTCATGTGGGCTTTGTTGCTTCTCAGCCAGATGACCACTTATTTATCTTCAAGCTTTTAAGACCCCACATGCTATATCTTTTGATAGCCAGGCACCATAAGCTTTCTTCACCACATTTGCTTATGCACCCATTTTGTCTTCAGTGATATTGTTGGGAGGGTGAGCATCACAGAATGCCAGATTATTAGAACAAAGTGTCTTGCGTTGAGGGAGTACTTAAGGAGAGCCCCAATGTCCATCTGCTAACTTAATACTAAACCTATACATATATGTACATAGATCTAGTTCCCTATCATTATATCTAAATATATTATATGCATGCCTGTATTTAGACCTCTATAAATGTCCTTTGCCTCCTAATTCTTTCCTCTATTGCCTTCTCCTTTCATCTTGTCCTACTATCATGCTTGACCTTCATTCAGCTTTCATTAATTCTTCTCTATTTTATTATACTCTTCTAACTGTTCTGAATTTCTTGAATTTCCTACTTATATCTCATTAAATATTTTAAATATCAGTATTTTAATGTTTGTGTGCAGGGGTGAAAGATTTTGAGAAATCAATAAATGGCAATGTTGAAAATAAGATTATTTATGATCCTTCATGTGGATTGCAGAGATTTATTCAAAGCATTCCACGTTAAGTGGAAAACTTTTTCCAAGTCTTAGAGACTATTTGTAAGATTTCTTTTCACATTTAATATTTTTTACAAACATTAGCATTAACACCTTTAAAACTCTGATATTTCACTCATGCTTCCCAAAACTCAA